AGACGAATGGTTGTTCCGGAAATGTTGTTGGGCTTGTTCAAGCCGTGGAAACCCGTTGTCTTGCTGGCTGCGAGAGCATCCAGGCTCTGAACAGATGTACCGACTCCGAGCAAACCCACCCTCTCCATGGAGTTCACGGAGATGTCGTGCTAGTTTTTTCTTTGTGCCAATGGTTTTCAGACAATAAAGACAAGAAGATGGCCCATCAGTGCCACAAGCGACGTTATCAAGGTCGTCGATCCTAAGAAAGTTCCAAGTCTGAGCGAAGGATAGGGATTTCAAAACGGGGTGAGACGAACATTTGATGCGTACGAGAGTCTGAGGCTGCATGGGATACCAGTAAGGACTGACCGGCAGTAGTTGATACCGGTGATGGCAAAGAGCTTCTGCTTCCCTCGTCTGACTCTTGAGATCGGCGCATCGAATCGCTAAGTGGTCGATCAGGGGCCGGCGGGTATGGGATTACAGGAGCCAAGGATGGCCCGTTGCTCAAGGAATGCGGCCGTTGAGCATCTTGACGAAAAGCTTTCGAGCTGTAAGGAAGCGGCTGCGGACTTTGCCAGTACATAGTTCTCCCCAGCGGTTCTCCAACAGACTTGAAGGGATGAAGGTTAATGGCTATCAAGCTGTTGGAGGACGCTGGTTCAAATATACACTCCATGTTCGCTTTCTTGCACCTCGTACATGCATCTTTGCTCCCAGACTGGAGCCCTTCACAACGAATCTAATTTCAAGTTAAAGAAGCCGTGTAGAAAAAGGGGCCAGGCGTCGAGCGGCCGTATAGAATGGACTGACCTTCCTCCTACGACAACGTTTGCAGGCAACCGTCGTCCGCTTATCCCGAGGTATCGCCACGACGCTAGAGAGAGTAAAGCATGGAGGATCGTCTGACGCGTCCAGCAGAGCAGAGTCGTGATCAGGCCTGTGGGATCCTTGATCAGACTGCGCTGGGTGACCCATAGGGCCTGGAGTTGACTATGGTAAAGGATACTGGCGTGTAGAGATAGCCGTTGGCAGAAACTCCAAGTTATAGTTGGCTTGGGGCTCTCCAGAGGCGTCTTTAAGTTGGCCGCCTCGAAGAGCACGTCCAAGATGATTGCCATCCTCTTTGGGTGAGTGATCTCTTTGGTCTGGGGACCGGTCGTGTCGTTCTGTATCCTCACCTCTTGAATCATCGTTCAGGATCGCCGCTATCCTATAGCTGCGACGTGGGCAGGCCGCAACAGGCCTCAGGGAGTTTTTGCCGTCATTTATTTGACTTCCTTGACTGTTGCCATCTAGTAAAGACCTGGAGCTGTTCGCGTTGGGGCTCGGATGCGTAGTCATTGACATCAAGCCTTCGGTCACCTCGGCACTCAGAGGTCGGGGCCGCGAGGACAGTGATGAGCCCAAGATACCGTTCACTCGTCGACGTTGCGCACGCGGAGAGCATGACCGGTCCCACCAATCTGGCCCGGGTCGCTTGCGCTTTAAAACGAACACCCCCTGGTGCTCGTTCGAACGGATGCTATTGGTCGAAGTGTGTTCATCACGACTGCCCTCATTTTCGTAGCGAGAATCGGTTGTTGCATCGACTGTATCGTCTGAAGAAGCTCGAGGGGGACGGAATTGATCGTTTTGGTCATGAAAGCCTAGCGTGCTTTTCGAAGACATCGTAGTAGGACAGGTTCAAAGAAATATCGAGTGGCGATAAGTAAAAATGAAGTGGCGAGAAAAGATGGTGACGAAAAGTATAAGTAAAGTGAACAACGAAGTGAGAAGATGCCCCTTTTCGCGGGCACACTGGTCGACTTTTATTGCCCTAGCCCCCCAGGTGCACTCTTGTTGGGCGTGGATCAACTGCCCAAAACGGATGCTGATCTCTCAAGTCGGTATGACGTGACGAGTTCCATTACTTTAGGCTTGCCAAGAAACAGCTCAGCTTTGCTTTGCTTGTTCTTGTCTAGAAAGTCCTGAAGCACTTACTTGAAGCTGCCACGGTCATTTTCCATCGGCCATGTCTACTCTTTTCTGCCTAGACGACATGACCCCCTACAGCAGGAGGCTTCCCAAGATAGTCATGCTCAGCTTGACTATGCTCCAAGAACGGCTGGAAGATCCCTGGACGGTTGAGACGGGTGCTCCTGGGACGACCATGCCATGAAGGTCATATGTCGTTTGCAGAAAAAGAATAGAAGCGAGCGTAGAGTCATCATCTACTCACTCCAGTGCTGCGCACTCTTGTAAAATCGTGTTCATGTCCATTTTTACCTCTTTGAGCCTCAGCCTTGGTTCTGCTATATCGTTCTTGGTGCTGTAAAACATACGCAAGTATGAGTATAGAGACTCATGCCATGACGCAGATGAGGTAAATTGACTCCGAACGTACCTATCACAAGTGTTCTTCGATTGATGATGGGAGGAAGCTAATATCCGAACTACGAGAAACAATGAAAGGACGACAACATGGCGAGGAACGATCACAGCACCGACATTCAACTCTCCTAAAAGAACTTCCTTCCCTCCACCGTCCCTTCGATTTAAGCTTGTCGTTGCTCCGACGTCACTGGTGTTACATATGGAGACGAAACAATGGGCCTTTAGGTACCCACAATGCTGGCCTATTTGCCACGGCTCACCAAGCATAAAGCTCGGGGGGCTCAGACTGGTCATCGCGGGACCGTGCCCTCGTTTGCTAAACGTCTTTCGTTGATAAAGATGCGCTCGCAAGGCTGGCGGAGGTCGGACGGCACAACAGGACAACAGCCGCCACGGCGACTGTCGGCAATTGAGGTATGCACCGCCCGCCATGACCAGATTGCATTGGATAATCTCGTCCCTCCGGTTTGAGAAACTGCTAGCCATTGGGTGGTTTAGCAAGTGACCCTGGTTTGGGCAGCCCGACTGCGCCTAAGAGTTCACTACAATAGAAAGCTACGTAAAGCAAGATTACGAACGCAGCAGGGTACTCGCATGATTGATAACGTAGCAAAGCCTCGGCGATGGCTGCTGTTGCATTGGCCTGGCGGAGTTTTGCCGTACTTCTGCTGTCTTACGCGCGCAGTTCTCACTCGAGCAAGGAAGGAGCGCGATTTCTGGGGCGGGTTTCAGACCGAGATCAAAGCAGTGTAGACGAACGGGCCAGCATTCGTTGATAGACCATGTGGCCGCGACGTCCAGGAGATGACCGTTGCTGAAGCATTGTATAGAAACATCGTCACGTAGATATAGATGCTTCCCGTTGATAATGGTCTCCCGGAGCGCAGATTCGGACACTTGTAAAGACGCGGTGAGTTGCTTCAGGGCCTCCCTCGTGATGCGGCCCCAAACCTGGAACTCGGCGGCACGCAATCGAACACTGTCTGCTCCGACGTCGTTGAAATAGTTGACGAGCTTCTCGACATCACGAGGATCTTCAGTCTTTCCCCAATGATGTGGATCCCCTGGTAATGGACGTTGGACCAGCGACGGGTGCACCCAGACGACGCCAATGACGTGTCGGTCCAGAGAATCTGTCATGACGCCTACGATGGAACAATACCGATGAAGTGGACGAGGCAGCCCGAGGTGCAAACCATGCTGTGCTGCTATACTACATAGCTAAGAGCGTATTCGGCGTCTACGTAGAGGAACTTAAGTCAATTTGGGCACGGACCAAGTCGGCTATGAGGGATGTGAAGAGACGTATGAATACTAAAGAGTACGGATAGTAGCGGACCTTACTGCACCTGATTGTCGAAGCTCTGAGGTACTCAAAGGTCGTTAAAAGTAGTGGGCATTTGGACAGTGTAATGATTTCTTGCTACCTCTACTCTACTCTGCCCGAGGTGGGGTGTGGGGTGTCCGGAGGGTCACGTGACCTTCCCGGATTGTAATTTTCAGCCTCGCTAATTAGGCTTTTACAATCCGAGCATCTCTCGAACCGCCGTAATTAATGGGCGAACCCGTCCATCCAACCTAATATACCTCAGCGTTCTAGCCTCTTTCATCCTGCCTGCGGCCTATTCTATGAGCTTTCGAGTGGTGAATGACAAGGCATGTCAAGAAGCGCAGGGAGTCGTCATTTCAGCATCTTGTCAACCCTTCCAATATCGACAAGCACGAAGTCAAGCTTCTTTCGTTTATAATAACCAATCGCTAGCGGCTACGTCTCCTAAATGGCAGCAAGTTTCCCAGCAAGCGAAAGCTGCTCCACCTCGAATACACGCTGGATGCGACTAAACGCGGGACAAGCGACGTTCTGAGAGGACGAGAGGTGGGGGGTGTCATCCTGGGGAGACGACAATGAGAAGTCACGGTGTTCGTGGATGGTATTGAAGCCGCTCTGCGAGCGACCGTTGAATATCGTATCGGTATGTTCTGTCGATAAAAACAGCTACCGGGCAAGCTTGCCGCGCTGACAATCGGACACATCGCGCCTAGCCGATCACCATAAATGGAGGTCGCGCTAACCCCCGCCCCCCCCAAACCCGACAATAGACGAACCCTCTCCTCGATGAACACGACGCTCTTAACCTCCACGGATACATACTTTATTCTGCACAATCGGCCCATCCCGTGTGGAGGAGAAAGGCAAGAGCAAGGTAAACGCAGCCTCCGCCGGGCGTCTGTGAAAAGGAAGTGGGCGAGAAGGGATGACAATGTCAACCGCACAGAGATCCTAGAAGAGAGTAGAAGCATTCTCGTGCATTCTGTCAGGAGTCGTGTTGTAGAATGACTCTGCCAATCAAATGGGTGGATGATGGCTCAGCCTTTGCAGCCTTGCTGACATATCTCCACCGCAATTGGACGAGCGAAAGGTGCCGTTGAAGCCAATGGAAGCTCGTGGAAAGAAGGCAAACTCAACACTTGCACAACGAGTCGCCACATTCAACCTCGTTTGTCAACAGTGCATGTCGCAGCCATGTATGGAGATGATGCCTCCCACTATTGGTCTAGTGACGAGGAGACGCAACCTCAACCGGACGACGAATCATGTTCCGATCAGCCAGCCTCCCGCGCGTTGACACCAGTCCAGCGACCTGCCCGAAGGACGTTGCCATTTGTGCCGTATGCTAACTGGGATCCAGACCAGACGTACGACGACTTGCCTCCGACGTGTCTTTGGTACGTTCTGGAATGGAAAGTGATGTTCAACAACCGGAGGGTCCGAGTGCAAACCGAGGAAGGCCTTCCGGTAGCCCCAAGTGATTTCTAGGCCAAACACCCATCGACCAAGGTGACCGACATTACAAAAAGCCCGGCTTATCGCTTCCCATCTCAGACCGCCATCTTCGCCATCAAAAGATCTTGTAAGAATCCTTGACTCGACACACTTGAATCCCCAGTGTTCTTGTACATACCCACTGCCTCCTGGTTCGGCGTTCTCTTGTTTGGCACCAACTGCGCTCGTTCAAAGTCGATCATCATGACTCCATTCACTTCCAGATTCAGCAACATGTTAGCGACCCGCACATCGTTGTGGACCACCCCGTGTTCATGTACGGCTTGCAACGACCGCACTGCCATCTTCTCAAGTAAGTTCCTCTTGCCTTCGAAGCTTCCGCTTGCGTCGATGCGATGCCCTCCCCAGGACAGAAATGTCAAATGGACCACATACACCCGATGGTCATAGTAGTAGATCTTTTTCATTGGCCGCAGGTCGATGGCGCCCAAAAACACAGGCACGTTGGCTCCCTGAATCGACCGGAGGCGCTCGTAGACGGCAGCCTCATGCTCGAGGTCGCGGATGAAGGCCTGCACCGTTCCCTTGCCGACGAATGTGTAGCCGTACGCAATCATGGTCACCTGGAAGAGAACACCGCGGGCGCCACTCACGTATAGCGGCCTGATTCCGTCGTCCAGTGATTGCTCTAGTTGCTTTCGGAGAAGTTGAAGCCATTCTGTATGGTTGACCGGGTGAGGTGCGTGGGTAGAAGCACGTTTTCGGGCACGGAAACGGCGTTCATTGCGGTCATGGCGATCGTGTCCGGTGTGGAGCGCTATGTTGGGGCAGTCTCTGTCAAGGAAACCACTCCTAACCAGCCCCAGTAGGCATTTCTGTGTGCAGTATGCCCGGCCTTTCTCACCGCCTCCTCGTGGTTGTCGGGACATAGCGTCCTGATTAGATTTAGTTTCCTGTCTTCTTCTCCTCCGTGATCGCGTTTCCATCGGGGTTGGGGTATCCGGCGGATTGGGTGTCAACTCGTCATCAGATGACTCCGGTTGATCCCTTCTTAACGTTCCCCTATCGACCTGGTCTCCTCGACTGGCTCGACGTCTCTTCCAACGACGCGCATGCGGTGATCGGTCGAACCCTTCGTAGGTAGTCGGCTTGTAGCCTGATGAGCCGCTCGAAAGCGATCTTTCGCTCTCGGGAATCGATCGCAGTGTCATTTCGAAGTCCTGTGCCCACGTTCTCAGGCCCAAGGTCACCCGCCGGCGCTGTTCCTGTCCATGTATACGCCGTTGCCCTGGTGAGCCAAGAGCCAAGAGGCTAAAAGCCAGATACTGACCGACGGCCGTACAGACGTGAGAGTGCTCAGGATGGGCAGCCACCTCCGGACCGGGTTCCGCGAGGTGGTAATACAGTGTTTCCGGCTCCTCCCAGTCGACCTTGAGAAACACGATCGCTTCGCCTGTCGTCACGAGACCATACTCAAGACCGCCCTCGATCATGTAATGGTAGGTCTGCGTGACGGCGGATGCTGTCAGTCTCTCCGCGTGGTATTGGAAGAGTGCATCCGGGGCGGCGGAAGTTGGAATAGTTTTGCGATTGACGACGTCATTCGGAATGTTCATGGCCCGCAGACCGAGACGTAGGTGTGGTGTGGTTAGCTTGTGGGGTGGCTTGTACTCGGAAACGAAGACCATGGTACGACTTTCCGAGGGTCCGTCGTTGGATCGGTAGACGCAGATCTGATCAGGACGCAGCTGATTGAGGTCATGTCTGTGGTCAGGTGTCTGTGGTGTCGAGGGAGTTTGACGGTCGGCCACCTCTTGAGCGACATCGCTGATGGCGTGGGGATGGTTCTCGAAGACAATTCCTCTGCCCATGTCAAATGCGCGTCTGACACTCTCCACATGTTTGAGTTGCTCTGATATTGTTCTGACTGGGTCTTCTACACTGTTGTGTAAAAAGAATTCGAGCGTCTTCTCGTTTGCTATCGGTCGCTGAGAGATCCGGTGACCCAAGCCGGCTAGAAAACCGCGGCTCTCAAATAGGCGACTGTCGGTAGGAAAGCTATCGTGGAGCGTACCGAAGATGACTCTCTGCTGTTCCAAAAAGTCAGGCCATGGTCGAAGATGCGTTGGACACCACTTGTTGCGGGGGTTGGTAATAGAGCCCTTTGATGTCAGTTTTTTGTCTGTTTCGACGACAAGTTTGAGGAAGACATGGATGTGGCAGGCGACGATGTACTCGATGAACGTCGTGAGTCGAGTTTGTTCCTCGGCATCCTCGGCGCGTTGTTGCTCTCTCTCGGCGCGTTGTTGCTCTCTCTCGGCACGTTCTTGCTCTCTCTCGGCTCGTTGTCGTTCCTCCTGTCGATCTCGCTCTGCGTCTTCGGCGCGCTGCTCCGCTTGTCGCAGGAGTTCTTGGAGCTCGTCTACACTTTTCGTGTACGCCATCGTCATCCGACAAAAGATGCGCACGATGGAGAAAACGATCGGTAGATGTAGATGTGGGGCCGAAATCTGTGACGCGTCGGGACTGCCTCGGATTTCCGCTAATATGTTTGCTTATTAATTAATGGTGTCTCCGCAACCGCCTGGTAACACTCGGTTTCCGATTAACCTTTAACTGAAATCAGCCACGCTTTACAGAACTTGATCAGCCACGACTGCCACGTCTGCCGCCACGTCAATCAATTAGACAGCCTTCATCCGAAGCCAACCCCGCTCCCTCGCACCATCACACAATCTCGCGATGGCTACAAACCCAAAGCTTGCGGACCTTCTCAAGAGAAACGCTCCCGTATTAGACTCTCTATACTCATTTCTGACGATTGCCGATGTACAGCGATTACACAGAGTCTGTAAGGCCTTCTGGTGGCTCAGCGATGACATACGATCGCGGCTCAAAACTAAACTCAAAACTAAACTCAAGCAATTTGTCGACGAGCCTCAGACTTTCCTCCAGCAATTGAAGGTGAATCGTGGCTTGGTTCATGGTCTGTTCGTGCTGAACGTTCTGACCTTGAACCGTTCTCAAGATCGTTTCTTGGATGTGCATGTTGAGCATGGCGCCCCCTTTGATTCATTCGCCGACTATCTGGAAAACACCGAGCATTATGTTCTCCAGAGCATCGAGACGGTGGGTTTTGTTTCAAATCTGTCAGGATTACTGTACTAACACAGACATGGCAAACAGAAGTATAGTATCTACGGTCGTGGCTCTGCCACCGCTACCACTATTCGTTTAAGAGCTTACAATGGTGCACCGGGTCAAGCCATTCTGAACTCCTCTTTCACGACTGCAGACGTCAATGTTATCTCATGGAACAAAATCTATTCAGTCTTTCCCTCGATGACTATTGACGACCATGAGTTCTACCCCTTGAAGCCTCTCGACGATAGCTTCGGGGTTCATCTGAAAGAGCTTAGTCGACACGGCTGGACGACACGCGACTTGCGCTGGCCAGATACGACGACCCGACCGCTTCGAGGATCAGGTCAGCGAAGGTTCGGCGACAGTCTGTCGCTCGTCTTTCAACTTGGCGATGACTCTATGGAACTAACAGACTTGGAGATCACCATGTTCTCTCGCTCCATCGAGTACTCTCAATTCGACGTCATTGAAGTACAACTCCCCCGATTGGGGTTCGGTAGAGCCGCCTCAAATGGTGGCATGAATCCGATACCTTTTCCAAGGTCCTCCATCCGTATGGAGGTGAATGAGGTCGCCTCACCAGCCTTGCGTTTTCGATACACATGCGGCGACAAGACCCACCACAAATCGTGGTTCCAATTCATCGAAGAACGCCTCAGACGATGGGCTCTGGTTGAATTATTCAAGATGAGCCCTGAAGGCCGGCCCAATAACTTTGCCAATGCTGGCCCCCCTCAGAATTTCAGAATCTCTCTTCCTAGTGGTTTTGAAGCGCCGAAAGATTGGGATTACGCTGATGATCAGATGCCACCATGGTTCGATTTCTGGGAGAAACAGAAGGACCCAGCGTAATGATACTTGGGAAGCAGTTGTGAAAGTAGAGACAGTTTCGTACGACTGTACCGTGCCCTACGTCAACTGTTTTGCAGGTTTCTAGATAACTACAGAGCTTTCCGCTGAAGATTTCAACGAACCCAAAGCAGGTGTGACACCAACCCCGCACCGCAGTCTGTGTGAGGCACATGTTCTTTTGTACATAGGTCGCGTAGCCTTCGACATCACCATGCACTTCAACGATCAAGATGTTTGGGCTTGCAGCCACTGGTGATGGTGGGGCTCTTTTCAGCTTTGCGGGCAAGGACAGTGTCAGCTTTGTGGCCTCAAGCTGATCCTCTCGGTATTTTTCCGGCTTAAACATACGCAGGGAGGATATGGGTCCGCCGGCCGCGACGGAACCATCTGACTTGTCGAGGTCTACGGCCGCGACGAGCCCAGCCCCGATGTCTGTTGCCAATGCTTAGATCGAGACCAGTCTCGTCTATGAAGACGAGCTGGTACGACCGCAGGTGACATATTTCGTGCATATATTCATCTCACAGATCTTAATTCCGTTCTTTCGCGATATTTTGAGTAGCCTTTTACCGCCATCCGTCCTTCTTCAGGGTTCTACTAACGATAAACCGTGTCACCTCCACATCATCGAACTCTTTTTGGAGGAAAGCGACCATCTCGCGGAGGAGCATGCACGGATTCCAGTCGAGCTTGTGGCTCAGGGCAGCCAGCATGGACGTCGGCCGGCACCGTTGGTTGATGGCATCGTGATGGATCCAAAAAGTGATCGGTTCGTTTCATGGCGAGAAATTGAGCGGGTCGAGCTATTAGCTTATTTGTAAGTGTCCTGTCACCTTGCGACCGACTCTCTAGCATGCGCCGGATCACATAACGCTGGCCGAGGCCCAGATTTGGCGCCGTTGTATCGAGCTGTTGTAAAAACCTAACTTCACATCACGGTGGCCTTGGACAAGGCCTCATCAACATTGGCTGTTTCGGTAAAAACTAATATCGGTAATTGATGTCTCGTCATGTACACTGTCCCAACTCCCAAATTCTCGCACAGTAAAGACGCATGGGTCTGTGCGCCCAAACATCACTGGATAGTTCTCCAGCTAGACACCGAATTCGCTCCTAGCTGTAGACGCCGAGGCGACCGATCACGTCTGTACCCAAAGTGAACAGAATTCAAAGAGGAAGAGACTTATTACGGCATCAGATTGATCGTGGACAGGTTGGTCTTTGACGTGGGACGGCGCGACGCGAACTGGTGGATCCCATTCCACGTGGCGCCCCACCTGCAGCCATGGCGAACGAACGCGACACGATCCATGTTGCGTCGGATGGAGAATGGGGGAATGGTGGTGTGAGACGACAGCTTCGATCGACGCGCAAGCCGAGCAACAAGGTCGTCGACAATCGATCCATCGACAACGAAGTCATCGACGATGAACATATCAATGATGAAGCGACCGAGGGTCAAGCCAGAAACGAGCCGACCGACGATGTGGAAATCACGGAGCGAAGAGCCAATAGGCGCGGTACCAAACCGACGGTGCGA